TAATTTCCATCGAAGTTTACACCGACGCGAGCAAGCCGTCCGACGCTGTGTTCCAGATCTCGGCGTATACAAGTGAGTCGGAGCAGGTGCTGTTTGCCCTGGATGGCTGTGACGCCGACAGGCTGCCAGCCATTGAGCTGCGCTCGTTTGACACAGAACCCAAGCTCATTGCGGCCTTCCTGGCGTACATCCACGAAGCTCGCATCAACGTCATTACCGGGTGCAACACGTTTGGCTTTGATTGGGAATATATACTCGGAAGGTGTGCCCAGTTTGGCGTGTCGACTATGGGGTCCTCGTTAAATGGGGTCAGCCAGTCTTCGACGGCCAGTGTCCGGTGGTCATCGTCAGGCGCCGGTGTGGTGGACATCCAGTACCTCAAGATGCCGGGCATAATGTGAACATTTTCAAGGACATGTTCAAGCGCTCGTCGTACAAGCTGGACAGCGTTGCGGCCGACTTTGTGGGTGACCACAAGGACCCCATCACCGTGTCGGACATCTTTGATGGCTACGAGACAAGCCTCGACACCAAGAGCACCCTGTACACGGATGTGGGACTGTACTGTGTGAAAGATTCGGCCCTTGTACATGTGCTGGCCCACAAGGTCACAGCCCTCATCTACCTGGTGGAGCTGTCGCGCGAGTGCAGCGTGTCCATAGACACCATCCGCATTGCCGGGCAGCAGCATCGCGTGTTTTCAAATATGTACCAGACATTTGCGCCCCGGGGAATTATCCTCAACTACCCTAAGGCCATGCATGTTTCGGGTCGGGACACGCTGGGTGAGTGCCAACGATCATAAGGAAAATGTGCTGGCCGAGAAAATCAAGATGGCCAAGCGCAAGATTGTCGACGATCGACGATCTGGACTTTGCGTACGAGCCTGAAGAGTTTGACGAGAACGAACTGGTGGCCGCCAAGTACGAGGGCGCCTGTGTGCTGGAGCCTGTGCCGGGCCTTTATTACAACGTGCTGCAGTACGACTTTGACTCGTTATACCCCAGTGTACTCATGGCCTACAACATCTGCTACAGCACGTACCTGAGCACCGAGCCGCCTCCAAACATGGTCCCGCAGATGTACCACACTGTCAAGTGGACGTCCAAGGGCGGCGATGAGAACATCCACCACTTCCTCAAGGAGCCGGAGGGCATTGTCCCCAAGCTGCTGCGCGACCTGCTGGGCGTTCGCAAAGCCGTGAAGAAGATCCTCAAGTCGACTGAGCTGTACACGGTGCAATACAACGTGCTCGACAAGCGGCAGCAGGCGCTCAAAGTGTGCGCCAACTCGATCTACGGGGTGCTTGGAGTCCAGAAGCACGGCATGCTGCCGCTCAACGAGGGGGCCAGCAGCTGCACGGCGCTTGGCCGAATGTCCCTGGGTATTGCCGTGGCCAAGTTTGAGGAGCTGGGGGCCACGGTCGTGTACGGTGACACGGACTCGTGCTATGTGACGTTCAACGGTATTGCGGCCGATAACTTTCCGGCGCTCTGGGCTCCCGCAACGGCCACTGAGAAGGCACTGGAGGCGTGCTTCCCATAAACCCTAAAAACGAGACCATTATATTTTCAAAACGAAGACCTACGTGGCCAACAAAGTGCTTGTTGAGAAGACGCCATCGGGGGTGACGGAGCTTGTTGCAGTCCCGCCGGAAAGAGATCTCATGGTCAAGGGGCTGACGAAGCGGACCACCGCGCTTGTGATGAGGGACATCTTTATGAATATGGTTATCAAAATATTCAAAAAGGTGCCCTACACAAGCCTGGTTGAGGACCTGGCGGGGCAGATCCGCCATATCTCCCATAACACGATGCGCATCCCACCCCTGTCGTTCTGTAAGAGTGTCCAGGTCAAGGACGCCAAGCACTACAAGATCAGGCCACTCTCCGAGAACCCCGTGCTGCTGACCAAGCGGCTGCGTGATCTCGATCTACCCGAGTCGACTACGGAGGAGTGCGAGGCTTACAAGCGTACGTGCCTGCCGGGACACATCCTGGCGAGTGTCAAGATGATGGAGCGGGGGCAACAGATCAGAGCTGGTGACCGTATCGCAGTTCTTGTAGTCCGTGGGGCTCCCAAGCAGCGCCAGCAGGACCGGATTGTGGACCTTGACTATTTCCAGGAGTCCAGAAAAAATCCCGAGCTGCCACAGTTTTCAATTGACACGGACTACTACATCAATTCCATTGTCAACCCGCTGGCCGACATCTTTTCCACTGTGTACAAGGTGGACAAGGCCATGGTCAAGGAGGTGTCTATCAAGCGGGGCACATGTCCAACACTACACAAGACTCCGGAGGACAAGGCGAACGCCGTAGTGGGCAAGGACGGGCGGACCAGAGTGCTGACCCAGTCGACGCTCCAGTTTTAGGATGTTGTATTTTTATTTTTACAATAAACATTTTTAATTCTATTTTCTTTTTTTATAGATATTTTCTAGAACTCCGTACCCACCAGCCCGTTCTTGGGCGTGTATGGTCGAAGCAGCGCAAATTGAAGTCGAAGCAGCGCAAATTGAAATTCGTCGGGTACGTTAGTAGCTGCAAAACGTGCCTCCTCAATGTGGCGGGCATCTACCGGCAAAACAAAGGACTCATCCTCCATGTTGTGCAGCATGCACAGCTGCGACCTAGCTAGCACAATGCGCTGGATGTGTACACGACGCTTGAGACTAGTGCGGACGAAGAACTTTGAAACGTTGTATTTTGTCGCTTTGCTCAGGCTACTTTCAGCAATTGCTGTTTCAATGAGACTGCAGCTGGCTAGGTAGAAGGACTGCAGAAACTCATCCATTTCCTTGACTATATAGAGTTGGTCGGCAAACAAATACACCACCGTGGCGACTCTGGAGGGCTCGATCGACGCAAGTTTGGCGATCTTTCGGATATAGCCATTTGCCACAGCTTGGCGACTACCCTTGATGTTCGCGGCGCGTTGCAACTCGCGCAGGGGCACGACCTCAGCATAGTTTGGTTGCAGGCTGACTAGTAGCATAGACATGATATCTCGTTTGTGGGGCTGTGGTATTTCTAATCTCTGGTATAAAGTGTAGTCGAAGGCCGGGACAGGTGTGGCCTGGCGGACAATGAGCTCTCTCTGGCGACTCAAGGTTGACTCGTTGAACATGTCTATAAAGTGTCTGGAAAAGTAACTTGGCTCTAGTTTCGTCATCAGGTATTTATTGACAATGCGTGCAACTAGTTCTCGTTCGCGGACACTACTGACCAGCGAGTAGCTGGTAATGTGGCTGAACTGCGCACGGAACGTATCGGGAAAGGGGAGTTGCGACATTATTTATTTATTAAAATCATCGTATGCAAAGTCAAACACTAATGAAAAAGGAAAATCAGTTTTTCGCGTCTACCGGCATATTGTCCGTCTTATCATCCAGTATCGCGTCGAGCGAGTTCTTCTGGGCCATGTGCTCAAAGAAGCCCGAGGCACACCCATCATGCACATAGTACTCCTGCGACTCAAGGCTTGCTGTGTACAGGCGGTACTTGACAAACTCGTTGCCGACCAGAATGTCATTCATGATGGTGGTCTCAATGATGCGCTCCTTCGTCACGTCGCCCCGGACGTACAGGTTCACCGCTATGTGCTTGGCGTGGTCAATGACTGGGATCGCCATCTTAACCACGTAGCGCTCGTCCTCAAAGCGAAGCCGAAGTGGACTGGTCATGTTGAACGTCTCAAAGAAGGTGCGTATGCGTTTCCAGCTCACATGTGTCACAACCCGCTCCAAAATGGGTACCTGGTTGGCGTAGTGGATAAACTAGTGGGAGCTCAGGACCAGTGCGCACACAAAGGCCTTCTTGGACATGATCATGGTTAGCAGGGGGCCCGCCCGTGGACGGATTAGTTCCCAGGCCTCCAGCCACTTCTGGTTCATGGACGAGTTGGCGCTGCCATTTATGAGCACCGACATCACATTGCCCATCCCCATGCCGGACTTGTACGAGTGCGCGCGACTTGCATACGTGGCATCCAGCATCAGCATAATGGCCATATCCTTTAGGGTTTTACGTTGTTACCCGCCATAATGTCCTCGGCCCACATGTTGACCCTCTTGGACCTTGCTGTGACCACATCAGAGAGCTGGATGAACTTGAAGAGGCTGATGCAAAACTCAATGTCTTCCCCCAGCAGCTGTGCGGCCTGTGTGATGAGCTTGGGGCGCGGGGGCCCGTCCGTGTCTTTGCCACGGTTACACAGCTCCTCACTGGCCGGGCGGAGATCTAGTGTTGGAGGCCAGCATGTTGCACAGCATTGCATCGCGATTTAGGTACGGGATAATGGCCTGCTTGGTGTTGTGTAGCATGATGATCCTGTTCTTGGTGCGCGTGAGCCCCACATGGTGGGTATTGGGCACCTTGAGCGGATCGGCGTCGCCTAAACCCTAAAACCCCTAAAATCGGTCCTCGTCCTCGTCGTCCTCGTTGCGGACTGTCATGTCGTCGGACGGCACGTCAATGGGAAACTTAAAGTCTGGTGACCGCACCAGGTAGCTGATAAAGGTGGAGATGGGCGAGGGCCGGGGGCTGTTGTGCTTGAACGAATGGGCTGTGTGTCGGTCACTGCCGTTGTAGACGCAGCGCAGCTGCAATGGTTAGCTTGAGGTCCCTGTAGAGGTCCTGCTCGGGGTACGTGGCGTCGCCGTACACAACGTACTCGGGCAACTTGGTGTTGCCAGTCCCGGTTATAACGTTGGGGCTCTGGGTACTGGTGTTGATGAACTTGCACACGCCGTCTGGGACCCGAAATCTCGTTGAGAGCATGAGGTGGGTCCAGGGCTCGTTAAAGTACAGCTCGGGCTGGCAAAAGTACGTGTCTGAGGCCCCAGTTGATGGTCTGCAGCGAGTCGCCCACCAGAACCTTCTGGGTGTGCCCGGTCTGGCCACCGGCAACGGAGCGTAGGGCGTAAAAGTACAGGGGGGAGAGGTCCTGGGCCTCGTCAACAATGACCACGTCGTAGTGGATGTCGAGGGGGTCCTCAATAGCCACCATGAGCTGGAGGTCAGTGACAACCGAATACAGCGAGTGGAAGATATGGACGTCCACCGCAAGCCGCCGCCGCCCTCTTGCGCGTGTCCGTTTTGAGCCACGATGAGTAGGCTAGAATGAGGATCCTTTTTCCTATGGCCTCGCGACTGAGGCGGTCAACGATGGCCAGCATGGTGAAGGTCTTGCCCGCACCGGCACAGGCCATGAGGGTGACTTTGTCGCCGCGGGCAACGGCATCTATGGCCATCTGCTGCTCGGCGGTCGGGGCTCGGAGGCCGTGTCCGTGGGGTGTGGGTTGGTGGGAGGGTGCGGGTGTGCGTGTGAGGTTGGGTCGGGGGGCAAGTGTGATGGGTGTGTTATCCACGGGCATGACTGGTTGAGTAGCAATCAACATGGTTGTGTGCTGTAGCTGTGTGTTGTTTGTAATGTAGATGTGCACATGTAAACTGAATTGTGGGCCTTGCAAACACGCATGTATATTGAAAATTCAATTATTCATTTTATTTTTATATTTTTGAATGCTCATAGACTAGGACTGGCTGATCGACCCTTGGACGATTTTTGGTTTGTTTTGGAGTTTCTCGTCCAGCAGCCCATGGTAGTATACCTCGTAGTTCCCGCGCTGCATATCCGCATACGTCACCTTGGCCACATACTCTGTGTTGGGCTTGGTCTTGTCTGGGCGCAGCTTGACAAACTCAAACTGCCCAGCCTCGTACCTATACTCGGCAATGCAGTCCTTCGTAAACCGCGCGTGGAACGGCACCCGCTTGTCTTCAAATGGCACCAGGCCATCGCGGGTCCCAACTATCAGCACAGAGTGCTTCTCCCTATCGGGCAGCGCCTCCACTGGCCTCACCCGAAAGTCTATAGACTGCAGCTTCTGTGGCTTGAACTTGATCACCCCGCCGGCGTACACGCTCGCCAGCTTGAAGCACACCCCGTCGTGCACTGCGAGGTCCAGCCCCCCAAACAGCTCCCTGTACATGCCCCCTGGGTATGTCTGGATGATCTGCAGCCTGTACTTGTCCACGGCCACGGTACCGTCGGGACCCAGCATCGTCTGCAGCATTGCGCGGCGGGCCGCAAAGGGCTTCTCAATCCACACCTCATTGTGCACCATCACCAGGTCCAGCACGTGCACAACGTCTCCACACACCTCGCAGTCCAGCACCGTGGCCCTGCTAGGCCTACGAACCGCTGTGACGCCTCGCCAATGGGCACCACCTCGCCCGTGATGTACACCAAGTACGCGAGGTCACCACACCACCAGCAGGGCGCGCGACCCGTCGTACTTGTACATGACCACTGAGTCGGGGGCAATGGGGGTTGTTGGCAACAGCGTGCCCGCCTGTGCGATGGGGAAAGTCAGCTTGCCCATGATGCGCATCGCCAACAGCTCACCGTAGATGGTCTGTGACCACACACGGTCCGGGATCAGCACCTCGCGTACAAACGTATTGACGCTGGGCACAAACTCGTCGTCCTGGAACCCAAACTCGGACATTGCAACGCCGCCCTCGAGCTCAATCTCTATCATGTACATCTTGAACCCCGCCGTCATGGTATCCACAAACTCGACGGTGTACGTCGCCGGCCCCGCGGACAGCTTGACACCTGAAAAATTGGTGGTGGTCTTGATGCGACTCACACCGACAAGTTCATCCTCTCCAACTGATTCACTGGGGGTCTTTGATGAGACGTAGTACGCCCAGTGGGCAAACCTAAACAGCGCAAGTGTGCGCTTGCACTCCCAGACTGTGTTGTTGTCGTCAAACGACGTCACTGAGCGCAGCCCATCTTTAGAACCATTGTGCATCGTCTGCGTGAGCCGCTTCTCGTACACGGGTGGCCCATTGAGATGGCGCATGCGATACATGCACACGGGCCTCAATCTCAATTTTCTCGGACATGGCGGTTGCGTTAATCTTTTTTTGTTGTTGCATTTGTATATACATATATACGTGTATACAAATGATAGCTTTTCGTTTTTTTTCTTCTTCTATACAAGCGTGGTCTCAAGGTTGTTGGTACTGTATCCACACTGCACGGTAAACGACAGGGGGTACGCGGTGTTGTACTCGGCCACCGTCATGGGCTTGTGGGCTGCCTGTCCTGGCGTATGACCCCAGAAGAAAGGGAAGAATACATAGAACGGGAATATGGTAATGTGCGAAAATATGCTGTACAGTACATGGTCAAACATTAGCGGCCCAGTCCTCTCAAATGGATGAGCCGTAGGGCACCCCCAGAAGAACATAGGTTGCAGCTTCAGCAGCGTGTAGGTGATCAGGTTGCCGCGCGAGCTCCCAATCACACTATTTGCGAGCCCCCGGGCATTCTCCTTCTCTTGTCCTACAAAAGGCCTGTGCGGTTGCACGCTGTAATGATGGACCCAAAGTCCTTGCCCAGATCCACCATGTCGCTGTCAATGTAGATGCCGCCATACTTGTACAAGATCTCAAGCCGCGCAACGTCTGCCTTACCACAGTACTGTGGTTCAGCGTCAAATACTGCACTGTTCTCCGTTAGCACACTGCGGATATTGTTGTTGTCCCAGAGCATGTACTCGAACCCGTTTGCCGCACACCAGGTCCTAAACGTCGCCATCCACCCAAGCACAGCTGCTGGTGCCTCTTTTCCATGTTGCACACGGGCATTTTGTGCCAGCCCGTTGATGCGGTCCACAAGGTCCGAATGCATTTTTTTTTTGTGATTTATTGAATGTTCTATTTTATTTTATTTTAAAATGAGTACCGTTTATTCTTCTTATTATCCATGACCATAAAGGCTACTACACCCAATACGACCAACACAGCAACTCCAACACCCCCAATAAGAAGCCAGTTTGTCTCTGGCTCCTCTTCTTCCTCCACTGAGGCAACTGCAATTGCTTCCACCACTTCGCCACTGACACCCTCGTCGTCCTCCTCCTCCTCAACAACCTCTTCCTCTACTACCTCTTCTGTTGCAACCGTGTTGTTGGCGATAAAGGCGTTCAGACCACTTCCACTGGTCACAATCCTGAACCGGAATTTGTCCACAACGACACCACCCGTAATATCGTCTGGTACAAACGTCTGGTTAGAATCCTTGGTCGCAAATTTCACGCCGTCGTCCGTCTTTATTCGGACGACGGACTCATTTGTATCACTGGACACTGGGGTCACTGTGAAGACGGTTTTCGTTGAGCTATCCGATGACACAACCACAATCCCCTGCTGAAAGTATATATACCCACCGTTGATACTCATGGTGTACTTGTTGGGCTTGTCACTGACAGGGTCGAACCGTATGTCGACTCCATTGGTACCGTACCCCAGACGACCCCAGACGCTGGGGTGTTGCCGAGAGTGAACTGACGTTCATGGCACCCTTGTTCAGCTGTAGATCGATGCGGCCCACGGCTTTATCCAACACGCTGAGTTGCTTCTCAAGACCCGTGTTGAGTAGGGCATAGTCTATCGTGCTCATGACGGTTTACACACAGATGGTTTATATAGACTTGGAAAAAATGGGTTTTTTATTAAATAGATTAAAAATTCGAACAGACCTTGCAAGTTTTTGTTTTTTTTCTTCAAGTTCTAAACGGCTAATGTATGAATAAAATGAACAAAAAATCCGCAAAGCGTAGCACCAAGGTCATCCAAAGGGAGATTGATGACCGCGTAATCGAGATCCAGGCGCCAACGTCCTCCATCAACTGGTCACTCGTGTTTGCACTCGCTGTCCTGGGGCTCTCTTCGATCCTCGCCATGGTTGCGTATACCAGGCGAATCCCAAATATCAACAGTCAAAAATCACGCCCATCGTAAAAGCTCGACGTTATGTTTTGGATTATACCTCATGTAGTGAGATTCCCAGAAAGAGTGAGACCCAAGCTTAAAAGACGACGGGTACGGCTTGGCCCTGTAGTAAAACAGCCGATTCCTCCAGTTGTTGCCGTAAACATTGCGATCTCCAACGAGGGCCATGAATGGAGTCGCAGTGACAATATTGAAGATTTCGATGAACAGTTTTTTAGATGGCACAAAGCTAAAGAACTCATCGTAGAGTCGATCGCGTTCGGATACTGGGTCCGTACCCATCGTGATGATGGCATTCATAGATTTGCGCACCTCTGGTGTCACATTCGTATACTGCTGCCCACACAGAAGTATAAAGATCGAGTAGTGGCGAGAGTTGTTGAATACTGCCGATAGCTTGTTAAGCTGCGAGCGGTAGCCACTAATATCGTCCATTACCATGGCCATGTTGCTGCGGGTGTGTAACTCACCACCAATATGATTTTCCCGCTTAACAACATTATACTGCTTCTGGGTATTTGCGACGCTCTGGATGGTTTCGGCCGTCACCTCATCTGTCACATAGTGGAACGCTTCTGGGATGATGGGGGCCCAATCGTTAGATACAGCGGACTTATTCCCGGTAAACAGCACTGTAGAGTCAAACATGCCCCGCTTTTCATACAGCAGCGACTTTAAATTGTCGAGTTGTGGGTCACCGTGTCGTCGGCGAAGCAGTAAAGGCCGTCTATAGACACCTCCACCCCGACATACGGCTCCGCAGCAGAGATGTTCTTAGTCACACGAACATATCCACCAATGCCACTGTCTGGTGCACGGGCATACTGAATAGTGCCGTCCGAACACGTTTTACAGGCATAGCCGTCGTGGTAGCTGAGAACGGTGGATGTTGTGGACTCTCATGGTTGCGTGATTGATACGACAATGAATAAACGTTGTCGTCAGCACATCAAACGTTGAAGGATCAAGTCGGCTGTAGGCACGACAGTTGGATACCCTTCATACAACCCGTAGGTAGGTACATCGAGGTGTGAGAAGTACACTTTCCGCTGTGCACACGACAATCGACTCGGTTTTGACATTGTAGAGCACGAGCTTGTGGTCCCCCGTAACCACATATGGATCACTGTCAGCCTGGTGGATCGTGTACATCTGATCGATACCGCGGACCTTGTTGAGGACCCGGCGTGGGCGGATGTCAGGACACAGGAGCAGGTCCCCAACAACCACCTTGTCAATCCGTTGAAGAACCCCTGAGCACATCTTGACGAGAGTGTCGGGCGCCATGCACTTACCAAGGCCACTGCGCCCACATACGAGGACCTTGGACCCGTCCATGGACTCTTCGTCACCCCGTTTCCAGGGACTAATACTGTCGGGATTCCATTCTTTGAGATGAAGTTTGTCCAGTGTTGTATCGGTGGTTTTGGACATCGTGTGTGTATGTGTGTCTTTTTGTTTCTGTTCCACCTCGACTATAACGTATGTTACACACCTAAACTTGGTTTTTTATATATTTTGCTTTTGAATATAATAAACTGTCAACTATGGGGGGTAATATATCAAAGAGTTTTCGCGAGCAGACAATGACCATGGTGAGCGATGTGTTTGTGTCCGCATCTACAGACATATCGAACCAGACAAGCAGCAACAACATCTCCCTGCAGACTATAATCTTTAATGGCACGTATGGCGGCAACTTTACCTCGTCACAGACGTCAGACATTACCTCCAAGACGGTGCAGGTGGTTGTCAACAGCACGTCGAACGAGGTCACGAGCGCCATAGAGAACATGCTGATTGACTGGTTCGAGCAGAATCTGGATCAAACCCAGGATGGACTGACAACGTCCAAGAACAAGTCGGAAGTCGTGGACATTGTGAGGCAGTCCGTCCACTCCAACATTGACGCCGTCTTCAAGACCAGGGTCGACAACACACTAAAGTCTACCAACTCGTCCACACAGTCTTACAGTTTTGTGGGTAAGGTGGAGGGCGACTGCCAAATGGACCAGACGTCAATCATTGACTCCTTGTCTGAGCAGTTTGCCACGACACTTGTGCAGAATGTGCTGGACTTGCTGGGGGTCATCACAACCGACAAGGAGTCCACCCTGAACACGTCCCAGGAGAACACCGGCTCGTTTAGCACAACCATGCTTATCATGCTGGCCATTATTGCGGTTGCGATCCTGGCCATTGTCATTATATTTAAATTCAAGAAATAGCTATTGTTTCATATAGATGTTGACGGTTTTCTGCACGTCTTGCATCATAGCCATAAGGCGTTTGTTCACATTATATATGTATCCAATCTGATCTGCGAGGTCAACATGAACGACCTGGAGGTCTGGGGTTGATTGCGATTTGGGTTGTGGGGTTGATTGCGATTTGGGTTGTGGGGTTGATTGCGATTTGGGTTGTGGGGTTGATTGCGATTTGGGTTGTGGGGTTGATTGCGATTTGGGTTGTGGGGTTGATTGCGATTTGGGTTGTGGGGTTGGGGTGCTTTGTGATCCGACCTTGTCTGAACCTGATGTCTCACATTCATTACTCTTGCACCCCATGACGTTTGTCCCCCACATCCATTCTGTCCATGTTTTTGGACGCTGCTCCCCAATAGTGACTGCGTGGAATAGTATGGTCTTGGTACGTAACGTAGTTAGAGGTATACTAGTGCTGGTGGTTTTGGCCTTCTTCGTCAGGGCGGAAATCTTTGCCCACAGCTCATGTAGACTCTCGTCGGCACGACTGGCTTTCAGGGCGTTCTTGATATCCCCCCTCTGCCCCATAATGAGTTCACACACATCCTTTGGAATCTCCTTGTGGTCCTTGAGATATGTCAACAGCTCATTTGCCTCATCGACCAACTCGCTACTCGTGGGTCTCTTGAGTGCCTTAATCACCTCTTGTGTACTTAATATAGAAGAAGGGAGAACTGAACTCTTCTTATCAGCCCTGTGCCGCTTTCTGTGCATTGTGACACTCTCAGCGCGGTCCCAGAGCTCAAGAGTTGTCCTGTCCATTTTCAGAATTTTTAGGTCGTTAATAATTTGGGCAATATCCTTCAGCGCCGTCTTCCTCTGGTTGTATGAACTGTCTGCATTTGTAATATCTCTAGCATCGTTGCGTAGCCTATTGTAGAACGCTTCAATCTGTGGATTCCCAACAGGCTCCGGGATATCCATTTGTCCGTACGTCTTTAGATGGGCTTCCTCTGCTGTCGCACCACGCCATACCGGTTGAACCATGGTAATTTGTCCTTCTCAGCCTTCATCTTGGTAATCCACTATTCCAGAATACGCTGATCATTGTGAAATACCCGTTTAAAATAGCGGACTTCCGTTGTGTTCCCGCTAGGTTGTATGCGCTGGTTTGGTATATTAACCAGGGACCATGCTTCGTGCAGGGTATCTGGAGCCTCATTGTCTCTCAACATCTTTAAGATGTGGGGCTTCTGGTTGTTCACATATGTTGCTATAGGTTAAGGTATCGACTCCATGCTGTCAAGGTACATTTTCAGCAGGCTGGCCCGATTAACAAGGTCCTGGAGAGAATACTCTAAATATTTTGCAATTGCCAGCGACATGTAAAATAATATCTTGTCTACAAGTTCGTTGTACGTCGCAGAGGTCTTCGCCCCATCGGAATCGTTCAGCTTTGCAAACAGCGATTCCCAATTCTTGATCACCCGGGGGTCGTATTTGATCTTTTTGAGATCCGCGATAATGTCCTCCACCTTGGTGACCACCTCTTGTATTTGGTCAACTGGCAAAGACGCAACATATGTGCTAATATCACGTGGTGCGTCTGACAAAATGATTTTTTTACTCATTTTTTATTTATAGATTAAAAAAAACTATGAATCTCTATGATCATGTCGTGTGCGTTGTTAATCCGAGCTGTGAGGTCGGAGAGGTCAGAAAGGTCGGCATGAATGGCCTGGAGGTCGTTATGGATGCCCTGGGTGTCTACTTGCGCGTTCTGTTCGGAGACCATGTTGCTGTCTGATGTGAATTCGTCTGGGCTTGATACCTCATACTCATCACTATTGTACACTGGGGGATTTGCATCCCATATCTTTTCTTTCCATGTTTGTGGCCGCTGCTCTTGAAAATTGACTGCGTGGTACAGTATGGTCTTGGCACGTAACAGTTTTTTTGGCCTACTAGTGCTGGTGGTGTTGGCTCTCTTCGTCATTGCGGTAATCTTTGCCCACAGCTCCTGCAGACTCGGGTCGGCTCGACTGGCATACAGGACGTCCTTGATATCCTCCCTCTGCACCAGAATGAGTTCATACACATCCTTTGGAATCTCGTAGTGTCCCTTGAGATATTTAAATAGCTCGCTTGCCTCTTCGAGCAACTCACTACTCGTGGGCCTCTCGAGAGCCTTAATCGCCTGTTGTGTACTGTATATCGCAAAGGGGAGCACTGAACTCTTCTTATCAACAGTGCACCGCTTTGTTGCCTTCGTTATACTCGCAGCGCGTTTCCACAGCTCAATAGTTATTGAGTCCAATTGCAGAGTCCTTAGGTCTTGGATAATTTTTGCAATATCCTTTATTGCCGACTTCCTCTGGTTGTATGAATTGTCTGCATTGTAATATCTCTGGTGTCGTTGCGTACCCTATTGTAGAACGCTTCAATCTGTGGATTCCCAACAGGCTCCGGGTTGTTCAGTGTCTCGTACGTTTTCCTGTAGACGTTCTCCACCTTCGCCCCACTCCGAAATATATATCTGTTTATCCATGTCTCATTGTCCTTCTCGGCCTTCATCTTGGCAATCCACTGTTCTAGGATCTGCTGATCATTTTCAAATACCCGTTTAAAATGGCGGGTTTCAGTCGTGTCCACACCAGGTTGTACGAGGTATCTAGGAATATCAATCCGCGACCAGACGTCGCGCAAAACTGGTGGAACCGATGCGGGGCATGTTGTGATTCACATATATTGCTATAGGTTCAGGTATCGACTCCAGCGTGTCAAAGTACCTTTTCAGCAGGCTGGCCTGATTGACAAGGTCCTGAAGGGAATAATTTACCTGTTTCGCAATTTCTAGCGATGTGTAAAATAGTATCCTGTCTACTTGTTTGTTGTATGCTGTGGAGGTATTAGTTCCATTGGAATCGTTCAGCTTCGCAAGCAGCGATTTCCAGTTCGTGATCACCCCGGAGCTGTATTTGATCCTTTTGAGATCCGCGATAATGTCCTCCACCTTGGCGACCACCTCTCGCGATTGGTCGACTGGCAAAGACGCAACAGATGTACCAATAACACCTGGTGCATCTGACAAACTGATATTTTTACTCATTATTTTTAATTTTATTTTTATTCAGTCGTAAAAAATATATAAATCGCTATTTTAGTTTCTGCAGCAGCCGGAGACTCATCAGCCGAAACCTTCGCGGGTACACCCGGTGCGTCATGGTGTTGCATCTATACAAGACGGCCTGCCCCTCGGCCGTCCCACCTACCACCAACCACCGCATCCCCGCTGGGATCTTGCTCGTACCTTCCAGTAGACTATCCCATCGCGCCAACTCAGCACAACGGGGCAGGAACTGGCCATAGAGGGGCACGAGGGTACTGTCTGCCGCGCTAGGAGCCGCCGGGCCCATCATGACCAGGGCCTTCGCGAGATAGTCCTCGGGATCTACGGGCGTAAGGACCGTGGCCGAGCTCAGGACCACAACCGGGGCACAGCCAAACATGTCTTTCGTGTAGTGGTCCATGCCCCTGGGTAGCTGGGTCTCGTCTGTGTACATCTGCTGCAGGAACTTGTTGTAGCGGCACACGACAAAGCGACAACCACCGGCCTTTACCGTCCCCCCGGTGACAACGTAGCACATGTTGGCCCACTGGTCCTTTGCAATCCCGTACGTGAGATGCAACGCAGATGGTCTCAGGGGCGCGTCAATCTCGTTTGACAGCGCATAGTATAAGAAGGGGACAGTGTTCGGAGCCATGCGCAACCACGACACGGTCCCGGCAGTGGGGGGGGGGGGGGGGTGGTGGCGGCAGAGTCTCGTGTGCACAGTAACCGTGGTCGCTCGGTGCGCCCAGTGGGGGCAGGGTACTGGAGCCGCCCCCGTGTGGCTCGGGGGTTTTTAAAAGAAGCTCAGTGCCAGAGTCGTTGTCCCACTCCATGACCTCCGTGGCATGCTCTAGGGGTGGCATGGGGTTCAGCAGTGGCAGGGGTTTTAGGGTTTAGGTCATGGAGCTCGAGTTCTACGTCGAGGTTAAGATCAGTATTCAAGTCAAACATTGTAAAAATGATTTGTAGTCTCACGCGCAATGACCATATATATCCACCTGGGCACCAACGCCCACTGAGCATGAAGTGACACCTGGGCACCAACGCCCACTGAGCATGAAGTGACACCTGGGCACCAACGCCGTATGTGCGTCATCGCACCGACGGTCACATTAACCGCGATTATTGTTTCACAGTAACACCGTGCTCCGATTCCGTATACCCAGTGACGTTTCGTACTTTGATGCACGTAATCTCTGTGAGAATCCAGGCCTAGAAATCCTCGTACAGCGAAACGCTGCTTTTGCAGACTTTTCACCCGCCGTTGACAAGTCGGGGGTCAGCATTATCACCTGCAGACTGAAACTACTTCGTGAATCGCATCCCCAAACGGCGTCTTGATCGAGTCGGGGAACTCGCCGCCGCTTGGCCTGATCTTGTTGCGCTCGTACTCTAAAGCAGTACGTATACTAAAAACGTACTCTTAATAGTACAAGGAACTTAAGTTTCCCAAATGGTTTTAAATGGTTTTATTAATTAATACCTTTTCCATTTTACATATCAGATATTTGGACAAAGCCATTACAAGGCCCCAGTAAAATACCAAACATAAGGGTTGGTCTAGTTCTAATAATAGAACTATGTTTACTTTCCAACTTTATTTATATCTGAATACTTCGGTAGCGAGATGGCTCAACCGAATATAGGTTTCTAGGGACTATTAGCGTAACCTAGTTGATTCTCCGATCAGCCAACCAGATGTGCCAGTCTGATGAAGGCTAAGTCGGTAATTCTTGATAAGTGGCAAGTTATTGGTTAAGACAATAACTAAGGACATCAAGAGTAAAAATAATTTCTAATAGAGCGACAACGAAACACTAAATAAAATTCCTTCGGTACTGAGAAGATTATATATAGGCAATGTCTCAGCCTCACAATCCGTTTATTTACTTTTATATTTTCACGATACTTAGAATTTACCTAAGGTATTAATTACTTAAACTACTTAAGCGTAAAGGTAGATTAACTACCACAAAAATTTTCTTGTCCAAGCTAGTCCTTAAGAGACAAGCTAGTAGTCATAAATTAAGATTATGACCAAGAAAGACAATAATCCTTCTAAGGAGCATAAAGCTGAAAAGAAGAAGATGGAGAGAGAAGCCGCCAACGCTACCGCAGCTACTGCTGCCGCAGAGGCAACCGCTGCCGAATCTGACAATAATAGTCAAAAGGACAATGCTTCAGATAAGGATGTAGCCACTCCGATTAAGGAGACTACTCCCACTGACAGAGCCCGAGGGCCAACTATTGTCTCAACTTCAAAGCTTGCATTTACGAAGCCAAGAAGTCAGACAAGGGACACGTCACAAGACGCCCCAACCTATTCTTCTGACGAAACTCAGAATGGAAAGTCCCCAATTATAGGGGACAAGGACAAATCTCAGAAGGAACCTATTATGGAACCAGAAGAGGAGGCAAGCTCAAGTGGCAAACCCGAATTCACGTCCGAGACTACTAAGCCAATGCACATAAGTAAGTTAATTACTGAAAACGCTGATCTTAAGAATCAGTTAGCTACCATTATGAAAGACTTGACTGTCGAACATGTAAATCAATTATATAGATCAGGAAAACATGCACAGCACTTACGCGAGCATGTTTCCCCGGGCATTACTGAAGCCCTACAGAAGTGGACAGAACGTCGACAGGCAATTACGCCCGAAGAACGTAAAGACTCGAGCGCTACACCTGTGGCATATGAGCCAGATGTGCTCATCGTATCTATACCTTACGAGGTATTACCACCAGAAATTCAGGCTAATTACTCACCTGTTCTGACACCCGGCTGTGAGTCACCCGTCCTTGAGGGTATTATAGACCCAGAGGCAGGTAGAAATACTCCGCCACTTTTACCCAATTGGGATGACAATCGTCGGAAACTAGTTAAGACTGTGTATGTTATCCAGACGCATGAATCACCTAATATTATAATATCAACCACTATCCGAGGAACAGAACACCAAAAGGCCTCGACCATGGACTTTACAAGGGGTAATAAACACCCCCGTAAACGTGTTAACGAAATCGAATTTAATCGCTTCGATCGCACAGCACTACATCAACCCGCAGAGGATTTTCACTCTGACGAGGTGACCGAACTTAACAAATCGGTCGACGATTATACCATTAAAATGGAAATCGCCCACGATGCGCATCATGCTGATGATGTAGCATACTTTGCGAATATGACTGCGATTAAGCAAAAGCGCATTGATCAGTTACTTCAGGCCCAACGTGGACAAGACCACAGAGACAACCAGAAGTACAAGGGACAGATCAGTCGACTTAAGTCGAATTGGGATGCCAACAGTAAGCAGGTCAAGTTTATAAAAAACCATGACCTCGACACGCTAACCCGTACGCTTAATGCGTTTACGGTCATGCTAGAGACGAATGATATCGCTCCCCAGCAATGGATCTCTACTTTAATGCAGACGTTTGACCCTACAGGTACAAGTTATTCGATCATACAGCGACAACAACATGAGCTAGACACTTGTCGTGACTGGCCAGCTGTGTGTTGGTTGGTTACATCCTTGTTAAGTAAGGACATGCGTAGCCCAGGACTGAGTTCAATTTTAACTGAACCAGTTGAGAACACGCCCATTCAAAGTTATATTCTGAAGCTAGATGCTGACCTGAAACATTCAGATATAGCGAAGGACAAGGCACAGCGATGGTACGAGTTCCTGGCTATGCCCGTGTTCTGTAAGAACATAGGGAATAACAACCGTGAGAGCCTGTACACCGAGTTGCGACGTAAACACGCGACTGAGGCTCGAGACAGGGGACATGGAACAAAGTTTCATCTATCCCGACTTACGTGGGAACAGTTTTATGACACTGTATCCACCCTTTTCCCTGCACACCGAGTAACATCGAAGGGAAAAGTGGCTGTTAAGAAGCCGCGGGAGTACACCGATCAAGGATACGTATCCAGGCAGACCTCAAACGAGAAACACCAACATACACGTGCTCGCGACCCCACTCTATCCACGGGACCCAATAAACGGGCACGCGCGGAGGCAAAGGACAAGGAACCTCCATTTAAAGAGATTAAGAAATGTTCCGACGCACAGCGTGGGTATGACAGGTACCAATTGACCCATAACAGTTATTGGAATGGCAGGCATGCATCCGCCTGTACACACTTTCCTATTAAGTGCGACAAGTGTGAGAAGACCAATGGCTATCACACTAAGTCTTGTGACAAAAAGCCCAACATTAAGTTGGAGTGAAGGTACTACCAGGTACAATCGTTACACAGACAATACAACGACTCTTCAGATGAGCGTGAAATAATCCCTGTATATCGCAATGGAAATAAAATCCTTGCGTTGATTGATCCTGGTTCAGAAATTTCATGTATATCCGATCGCTTTGTATTAATGAAAGATATCGAAAGGGGAAAACAAACAACTCACCTCATTTTAGCTTATGATAAAACTGCTAAGTGTGATACCATGGCCACAGATATTAAAATCTGCCTGGCCGATGATAGGAATATCACTACCCAAGCTGTGACAGTTAAGATGTCACAGGAGTACAACATTATAGTCGGAATGAGCGATTTACTCACTCTAGGTATAACCGGAACGGGTCTACCAAATAACATAGATCCATTAAAGGATCAATCGGACGATAACTGTCTGAATCCATATAAGCCCCCGTCAGACACAGTCAAGGCATTAATACCTGACTTTGCGAACAAAATTATGGATCTGATTCTAATTAATAAGAAGATAAAGATCACAGATTGGGCAAAATTCCGCTTTAACGACAGATATGTCAGCCTTGACTTGACCAAGGTAGTCTTTACACAGTTAAAGTGTCCCTCAAGGAACTATGTATTCTGGAGACACGAGGCTGTGGTAAAAGAACAAGTTGAGAAATGGCTAGCAGATGGAGTGATAGAAATTAACTATCAACAGACGCGAGTTAACTTGGCGCTGCTAGCCGTAGACCAACATAACTCTGACGGATCGTTTAAGAAAGTCAGAGTATATTTAGATATAAGTCCAATAAATAAATTGTTGCCGACTCATAGCTTTGACTTACCTCGTATTAACGAGCTACTGCGAAGGATGGAAGGTGCTACAGTATTTACAACTATAGACCTTACACAAGAATACCATCAAATGCAGGTATATGAACCACATCGTAAATACTTTAGTTTTACGTGGAAAGGTAAACAATACCGGTTCAGAGGTGCACCTTTCAGGTTACACTCTGTACCAGCATTCTTCCAACAAGTAATGGAAGAAATGTTTACAGACATGCCTAACGTGCAAGTCTATATAGATGACATAGTCATCGTTTCTAAGACTAAGGGCGAACATGCCGAATTAGTCAGACGAGTCCTTAAGAGACTCAACGAGCAAAACCTCAAGATTAACGAGAAGAAATGCCACTTCGCAATGAGCGAAATACAGCTCTTAGACTACCATATATCTGGGGAAGGTATTAAAATCGACCCCGGTAAGGTAGCACACCTGTTAGATTGGCAAACACCAACTACAGGAAGAGATGTTAACAGCATGTGTGGGTTTGTAAACTTCTTTTCAGATGGAGTACCACACTTGGCTGAATACCTTAAACCTTTTGGACACTTAAGATGTCATAAAGGCAAACTAGGAGACTTGTGGACTAAAGAGTGTGATGACGCGTTTAAAGCGCTCAAACACGCAGTCCAACAACAGTTGTACAAGGACCAGTCGATGGCGTGCCGTTTGAAATAGCAACAGACGCCTCCGACTTAGACTTAGGAGAAGTATTATATCAGGTTATAGATGACAAACCTAGATATATACAATTCTTTAGTCGAGCAATGAATGTTTCACAGTTGAAATATCCAACTGTTAAAAAAGATCTATTAGCCATAGTGGCAGCTCTGACACACTTCCGAGATTACTTAAACGGAACAGCATTTACGCTGATGTGTTATCAGAAATCTCTTCATTATATGAAAGAGATGAACCCCGACTCACAATTACTGAGTCGCTGGCATGATACAATATCAAAATTTCATTTTGATATAAAACATCTGACAGGAATACATAATCATTTACCGGATATGTTATCACGCTTTGTACCGGACTTTAATAAATCCGTACGTGAGTTACTAGCCACTGACTGGAAGTGTAATCCCAGGTGGTTTGAACTGGCTCAAAAGATATTTGGGCCACATACCATAGATATGTTTGCTGCACATCATAATGCACAACAATCGAATTACAGGACTTTAAATCATCCTTTGGGAGACGCTTTCAAATAGACCTCTCCGAACACAATGCGTGGGCTAATCCACCATGGCAGTTAATTGCCCAGCAATTAAATTATGTTCATATACATAAAGCTGCCATCACGTTGTGTAGCCCATTACGGAGTAAAGATCCATGGCTCAATAAGTTAACAAGCATGATACAATGCGAGCCAATATATTTAGATAGGGAAGTAGATACCTTCCTATATCAGGGTACCCGAGCCTTCCAGAAGACGCCTTGGAGACATACTATAATATGTCGTATAGGTCCCATTGGTACAACCAAATGGACCCCTTCTGAGACCTTCCTTAACAAGGTCAAAGAATCAGAGATTCCACTCTCTACCCAATTGAACGTTACGCAGTTCAAAGGCAACACAGCACTTGAAATCTGTGCACAAGAAATACAATCTACTAATGACACTACTGTTAAGAAGCGTCAGTCTCTAGCTAGGACTCTGTTTAATAATATAAAGTCCAAGCCTGAGGTCTTTCAAACCTTATTTCCAAAGGGATTAATGAAAGACAATCCTGAAGCGTATACACATACAATGCGACTATTTAATAAGTCTGGTGTATCTAACGCACATGAGCGCACTTATGACACTCATGCGAAAGAAGAACAGGAGTCTGGAAACACTACAGACTTAGAGACCACGCAAGTGGATTCTCATCACCCTACCTTTATTCTGGAGGAGCAGAAAGATGAAAACATTCTTGCCTGGCTGACGAAAAACCATAGGCTGAAGCACCAGAACGTAGTAGACGCACTTAAAGATGCTAAGCGAAATGGGATCGCGCACCCTAAGCTGGCAACTTTAGTTGACAGAGTATATCAGTCATGTACAGACTGTGATCTCAATCAAATCAAGCGCTATGGGTTCGCACCGCTTAAGAGTGTGACGGAAGATGTTCCATGGCGCAGGGTCACCATTGATCTGGCTGACCTGCCCACGTCCGAGCACACAGGCGACCGTTACGTATGCCACTTTTTTGATGTGGCGTCACGGTTTAACTTGCTCTATCCATTAAAGGATAAGAATACGCAGACCGTGGCCGAATTATGTTGCCAAGTCTTTGCTGACCACGGGTGGCCAGGTATTATGTGCACTGATAACGGTAGTGAGTTCTGCGATGACGTAATGGAATTGCTAGTACTCGTACCAGGCATATGCCATAAGAGAGGTGTGCCATATAAGCCGCAAACGCAAGGCGCGAATGAAACGCGCCATAGAAGACTTAAGTTCTTCTTGCGTACTACATTAACGGATGATGCAGATGATTAGTCATATCACCTTAACTGTATACAAACACAGATGAACGAGTGTGCTGATCCGGTTACAGGAACTACACCCGCTCACTATTTTCGTGGCAGATATAGTGAGTTACAAATCCCTTTTAACAAGGACGAACATGATCACCATGAGTTACCATGGTTAGAGAAGGTACAACGTATTTATAACGTTGTATATCCTTGCTTGCGAGAATTACGCAATATAGCCCTATTAAAAAGGCAAAAGCGTTGGAACACTACCAAGAAGATACCAGAGTATCAGGTTGGTGACAGAGTTAAAATCCGTCAACGCAATTCCGATGCTACTGTATTAACATCTAAATGGATAGGTCCATATATAATCTCGGTAGCAGACACTAAAAGTGAAACGTACGAGGTAAATAACCCCGATGGTTCTAGTGCGCTTAATATGGGCACAAGTCGTATCCCGACTACAGAGATTATACTCGCAAGAAGACATGACTCTAATGCCCCTCTTGATCGTTCTGAATTTAAAGACATTATATGGAGAACGGATAAGGGAGGCTATACATACTATCGTAAATGCTTTATAGACGGTACAATAGCTGAGTTGACTTCAGATGCTTTCGATAATCAAGAGTATTTAAAAGCCTTTAATCGAAAATGGCGTAAATGCCTGCATAAGTCACAAGCTGAAAAAGATAGCATGTTTCCATCGTCTGAAGGCACAGAAGTTAAAACTTATCCGCCTACATCATTTATCCCGAGCTTTCATGCTCATCCTTCATATGTGCTTAAGACATTGAAGCGTAAGAAACATCTAGTCGACCACCACGGACCTACCGGACCTAAGCCCAAAACTCACAGGGTAACCGAGAACGCTTAACTTCTCCGCTTGAGAAACATTAACTATATGTTAAGCTACTTAATGTTTCGACCCGTTTTTCCTTTCTCGCTTTTTGACCCATAATCAGCTTGAGTGAGCAACTTGCTTCTCATGGGTCTTAAAGCTGGGTGGGAGCTGTGTATTAAGCCGGGCTTCCACATTAGACTCTATGTTATAAACGTACTCTTAAGCAGTCCGTAAATTATAAACGTACTATTAATAGTACGAGGAACTTAAGTTTCCTAATATGGTTTTTAATGGTTTTATTAATTAATACCTTTTCCATTTTACATATCAGATATTTTAACGAGGCCATTAAAAGGCATCAGTAAAATACCAAACATAAAGAGTTGGTTTAGTTCTATTAATAGAACTTTATTTACTTTCCAACTTTATTTATATCTGAATACTTCGTTAGCGAGATGGCTCAACCGAATATAGGTTTCTAGGGACTAATAACGTTACCTAGTTGATCCTCCGATCAGCCAACCAGATGTGCCAGTCTGATGAAGGCTAAGTCGGTAATTCTTCATAAGTGGCATGTTATTGGTTAAGGCAATAACTAAGGACATCAAGAGTATTTTTATTTTTTTATTTATTTTTCTAAAGATAGGATTTTATGAGTTTCTCGGATTCGCCCCAATGAAAAATACCATGGTTTCTAATAGAGCGACAACGAAACACTAAATAAAATCCTTTCGGCGGAAACAGTACTGAGAGGATTATATATAGGCAATGTCTCAGCTTCACAATCCCTCAGAGTATTGCTGTTTTCACGAGGCATACCTAACTTTACTAAAAGTCTCATTTCGTTTATTTACTTTGATATTTTCACGATACTTAGAATTTACCTACGCGTTTATTTATTCTAAGGCGTTAATATCGCCTTGAGAAACCGAATCTTACACTATTCTCGACGGAAATATCTATGGCACTAAGAATACAGTTTGGGACGAATGCATCAGGAACATACTTATTTTTCGAGATGGTGAATTTGTTTATAATTCAACCATTCTTAACTATCAGTACGACCAAGAGAAAGCACAAACGCTTACCTCGTGCGGATCCCTTCACAAACCCGGAATACCCGCGCTTGTCAGAAGTAGAAGAAATTGCAACTTGGTTACAGGATTCATGGTATGCCGGGCTAGCCAGTGCAGATCCGACAATCATTGTTTTATTTGATAATAATGATGATGATATTGATGAAGAGGATGATATAGAGGTATAATGTTCTATTTTAGCTTGTTTAGTTTTAATGAGCTTATTTGAACTGATAAACATCTTGAATATTAAAAAAACATTAAAGTTATTCACACCCTACCTATACAGATTGATGACATTGACGGTATATTGGGTGAACTGATCGGAGACAATAACACATCTAACAGTGGAAGCACAAATGATAATGGTATCGACAATGATAATGACAATGTAATTTTTTTCTAAGTGTGAGTACTGGTGTGGCTAATACTGATGTGACTGGAGTTCAAAATACTTCAATTAACTCTCCATATCTGGGCATTGCGATGGTACATAGTGATCCAACTTCAGATAATACTCCAACTCCAGTTTTCTCACCTTACCTATACAGATTGATGACATTGACGGTATATTGGGTGAACTGATCGGAGACAATAACACATCTAACAGTGAAAGCATAAATGATAATGGTATCGACAATGACAATGACAATGTAATTTTTTTTCTAAGTATAAGTACTGGTGTGGCTAGTACTGGTGTGACTGGAGTTCAAAGTACTCCAACTAACTCTGCATATCTGGGCAATACGATGGAACATAGTGGTCCAACTTCAGATAATACTCCCAACTCCAGTTGTCTCTGCTGCAAACAGTGTTGTAAAGTAGACCTAACACAGTACCCGAACGCGTCGAAAGAACGGGGCGGGAACCATTGGAAGATGGGCTAGCACAAGGAATGTTTTTATTATTTTTTTACCTTATCACAAACACTACGCGCTCTAGCTGCACGCATACGCTACTTGCTAGTTATATTGAGGTTTGAATACGTGTTACCAGGAAGCCTTAATAATGACCCTATTGAAATGAGCTTTCGCATAGCTCGAGCAATGAGCTAGACATATGCGCATATGTAAGCGCCAAAAATCTTGCTATTCCGATCCATGTATCAGTTTTACTGCATCACCAACAATCACATCGACTGCAACAAAAGATGCTGCGTCAGTTCAATCAGTCGACTTGCGCAAGCAGAGTAGATTTACGTGTCATCAAAACGATTATTCTTCAGCGCATCAAATCGTGTCGCATGCTGATGCCGCTTAAAGAATTGTGCAACGGTTGTGGCTCAAAACAACAGAAGAGAATTATCGTGCCAATGTTAAACACTTTACAATATTGCCTGCAATAATATGTCGTTGTTGCTCAATCGACAGTGTGCAGCTACTGTTAACATCAAGAAGGGTCGTCCTACAACATTACGTGGAGCAGAAGGCTTCAGGAAAATGGATAACCGAGAAGTGTAGGAATGTGTTACGAAGTGTTCATGCCCCATTGGGGAGCAGCTTAGAAGTACTACAGAAGCGATGTTTGTTGTTAACGCAAATACAAGCGGTACAGCTAGGCTCGGTGCTTGCATTGAAGATTGACGATGCAAAAAAATAAATGCAACTTGATCTTACCTAAGGGTCGAAAGTAGATGCGGTTGAACGCATCGGAAGGACTCTCCTGAATCCTATTGCCGGTCAAGAACATGACGCACTATTGTCATCATTGAGGGAGGCATGAATACTAGGCAAGACGCCTACCTTGATCATCTTCATATCTTAGGTAAGCTGAATTGATCTCATATATTGAATAGAAAAAAATAGTAGAAGCGGTGTGTTTTTTATTATTAATTTGTTGAATAAAACTAAATTTGCTTCACACCAATACTTGTCATGCCTTTTGAGGATGTTGGCTTATTCAATTTTCAGAAGGCTATGAAAATTAGAATATGAACTGTAAAACCATCAAGGATCCTTGTGTATTCGATTCCATGACACTTCCGCTGCTGATGAGGTGAATAGGATTTCTCGGCAGTACAACTATTAAAAATTACAGGCGCAGGTGATACTATCGGCGATCTGTTCTCTCTTTTAACAATTTTCTGGTGTGTAAAAATCCTGTTACAATATTTTGTATGAGATCATATATCTACCTAATAACATATGAAAGTCAGTCGTAGAATCGTATCTTCACTATGAAGCGCTTGACGGACAGCCAACCACCGGGCACTCAAAACATGTACGCTTAAGGAGTACGGACGCACACATCTTTTACCACTTGAAGTGTTTGGGTTTTAGGATTAGCCGAGGTCATCTATTCACCTATACAGGCTAGTGTATGTGATTGTCAGGCAGTTATAACTTCTCCATGAACAATGCCCAATCGATCGAAAACTGCCTTCAACAATGTTTTAAGGTTTTTATTGATCCGTGTAATATAGATACACGTCCGTCGTAGAATCGTATCTTAATTTGAAGTGCTTGGCGGACGGTCAAACTCAGGGCACTCAGAATATATTTGCTTGAGTGGTACGTACGCAGACATCCACTACAACTTGAAGTGGTTTATGAGGATATCTATACATCTACACGCTAGTGTGATTGTCAGGCAGCTGTGACTACTATATGGACAAAGCCCAATCAACAGGACAAAACCTTCAGCAATGCTTTAGAGATTTCATAATTTGGTGTCACATAAATGAACGTCCGTCGTAAATTGACAGTATAACCTTCAATATTAAGCGGCTGGTGGCCAAACCCGGGGCATTCAAAACATTCTTAAGGCTATGGGTGCACAAATTAACTTTACCACTCTATTGTGTAAGAGTGAGGTACAGATTGTTTACCTGAATTGTGTGAAGTTTCAGGTGCTGTCATACACTTTGTTTGTGCCGGTGCCCGTTATCGCTTATGTAAAAGACTTTTCCAAGTCGAAATACGCGCGGGATAGGCCTTTCGATAACAAGTAGGACAATCAGCACATGTCAAACAACCCCTCAAGCAACATGTTGTAGCCTTGAATTAAACAATATAAAATCGAAAATGTTGTTATGATCGTTTCCAGAAAAATTAAATTGAGAAAAGCGTGAATGAAGATGGTAAGTGTAGTAGATAGAAAAAGTTGTTGAAGCCTAAAGTCTAAGTTAGACAGTTCCATTGAATCTAACTGAACATCAACGTGCGTTAAAACGAATAAGAATATCACAGTATACCAAACTGATACACGCGTTCCCAATAACGCACGAATGTACTCGATCAAAAGGTATCGGTGTGCATACTGGTCGAGATGACGATTACTCAGAGCTAGGCAACTTGCTCAGGGGTCTAAAATTTGACTATGATACATGCTTCATCCATTGTCCTGGACGGCATCATTTTTGATATTACAATGACGGTTGTGTATGACTTGTGCAATACCTATTTGCACGATCTCCCGGTGATTAAATATGTTACTAAAGTTGGTTTGAAAATGGAAAGAGTGTGATGCCAGTCTATCAATGTGACTTTACAAATATATACCAGATGGCAGTTCGCAACTTACACTCTACTGACCTAGGGTTGCACATACTGGAAAACACAGCAAACAATGCCGAAGACACTATATCAAAATTCTCATTGGAGAAAGATCAACTAAAATACCGTTCTCAATACTATATCCAAGCACTATACATAGTTAACAAAAGCCTTTCAGATGTTATTTGGGACCCACTACAGTAGCGGTGTGATATTATTAGTGTCAGTGTGATCTGAACTGTGCGCGGGACAACATGTACTGAACTTCTGAACCACATAGGTATATTCTATCTTTACCTTCCGGGATTTTTTTTTTGCAACGGGCATCGGAAATAGATTCGAGTTCAATTCCTTTCGTGGTGTATTGGATATCGTATCGTGTCGTCTTTGTCTACTTTAGAGATAAAACCATAGATTTTGAAATAACAAAATGACTATAAGTTGCAGTAAATTTTATACCGTTTCGTCCACTGAGGTATGGTGATTCTCCCTGTTGTCCAGCGGCTTACCTGTAGACCCCAGTGACAGGATAATTTGGCTTTAATAGCTATAGCGTAAAAACTTTTGTACTTTGCGCTCCTCTGGATGGTAACTGGCGATCTGTCGCATTTGAGTTTTCAGAACTCTAGTAGTACATTCCAACGTCTGGTCTGCAGTCGAATGCGTGAATACAGCTTTGTCCAGAAGCTAGTTTAAGACATCGAGATTTGAAGTTATCTAACCCTTGCGTTGTATGAGTCTCTGCTATAGACTCAATTCTCTTCTGTATCAAAGTTGCTACATTTGTTCCTGCTAGAACCGATGATATCATAGCCCCCAAGAAGTCAAAAGCCCTATAACCCTATAACCCTAAATCCGCCATCACATTCAAGTTCGCTTTGCTTCCACTTCACATCTGAAGCAATCTACCTGATAGAACCATGGTTTGTGTTCCAACTCCAAATAGGTTTAAGGAGATCAGTTCCCGATTCGCAACTTACAAGCACACTTGAAACATCAGCCGCTGGTTGATTCCATAGGTCTTTAGTTTTTCGAAAGCATTTCATTATTCAAGCACCTGTGCGAGTGGGTCTGAGTTTTCAGGGTCCTTGATTATGGAGGTGATTTGTACAGCTTTCAGAATCGAGATCAGAAATCCCCCAGACTTCCCCCCCCCCAATTCTTGAATTAGATAGGTGTCTGCACTGTCACATCGCTTTGTATGACCTTGGACTGCTCGTATTTGGTATGACTATCATTGTAATATCCGTGTGTTTTCTGTATTATATTTCGCGGTAAGCGCAGATTATTACCTCGATAGCGGTGCATTGAGATCAAGTTTTTAAATCTCCATTGTACTCGGTGTACAACCTGATGAAATTTTATTGACGGAAGCTAAAGCATTGTAAATGCATCTGTTTTTGATATTTACTCACAGATTTAGGATGGAAATCAATCTACATCAGCTAGTGACATATGGGTGCATATATAGTCTGTGAATACATTTAAGGTACTTGTTAAAAGGAAGCATATAATTGTGGTTTTCGAGCGGAAGTGGCATGGTCTATGATTCCATGTCATATGTGTTGAAAATAAATAAATGCGTTCTACATCCGATCTAAAAAGTTTCGAAAAGGTCTTGTCCAAACAGATGAAGAAACGATGTCGATGTACACAACAAGTCCAAGTAAAGTCGCTGTACATACTAAACCCCAGATTCGGCTACTATAGGTCATTCCGGAATAACGTCACATTATGATCGAAGTTGCTCATCGCGAATGTTGTAGCAATGAAAAAAAAAAGGTGAAAATTTTGAACAACGCGCACAGAGACAGAGTGGTTATGTACAAATAATACGCGCATATGCATGGCGTTCAATTCGTAGTTGATACCAGTCAAGAATCTAAGCCTTAGCCCATGCCATGCCTTGCTTCAACCACATGCTTGGTGATCTCGTTGACCATTTCTGCGCATAATTGGTAGACCAAGCAGCCGATAAAACAGACAGTCCATTTATAAAAAGTGGCGATTCCAAGTGAAAACATCTTTGTTGAATTCTTACTTTTGGGGGGGGGGGGGGGGGGTTGTTGTTGCGAATTGGGCTCTTTTTTGTTGGTTTTGAATATATTTTGGTGTGCCTAATTCTATATCGCAGAGTCTTACTAGCATATATTTGGGACTACCGATGGCCTATTTGTGCGCAATGCTTGTGTAAATTTCGTTTTACATGACTTTTTGTTTGGCTACGCCTCGACTTATGTGTCGGGTTGAACATTTTTTGGTTTCAAATTGGCGTGGGCTGCTCTTGGCTACGTTATGAGTTGGCCTTGGCTACGCCTTCACTATGCCGTGGTCTTATACTCGCTTCGCCGTGGATTGGCGATGGATACGCCGTGAGTTTAGTACAGCATGTAGGCTT